AGCCTGGAGAAAAGGAGGCTGAGGGGAGACCTCATCGCTCTCTACAACTACCTGAAAGGAGGTTGTAGCGAGGTGGGTGTTGGTCTCTTCTCCCAAGTAACAAGCGATAGGACGAGAAGAAATGGCCTCAAGTTGCGCCAGGGGAGGTTTAGATTGGACGTGAGGAAAAATTTCTTTACTGAAAGAGTGGTTAAACATTGGACCAGGCTGCCCAGGGAAGTGGTGGAGTCCCCATCCCTGGAAGTATTTAAAAGACGTGTAGATGCGGCGCTTAGGGACATGGTTTAGTGGGCACAGTGGTGTTTGGTTGACGGTTGGACTGGATGATCTTAGAGGTCTTTTCCAACCTTAATGATTCTATGATTCTATCTTGATCATGGGAATAAAAAAAAACTTTGCTAAGAGCCAGCATTTGATTCTACCAGTAGTGTTGCCAGTTGCTTATATCAAAAAAAACCCACAAAAACCAACAAACCCAAAAAAACCCACCCTGGAGGACTGAGTAAGAAGGGAGAGGGTCAACATGAATCAAGAGCAAAAGGCAGACTACAAAAAAAGGCATTAATGCACCTTAACAGTGTTCCCTGCCAGCAGCATTGGCTGATATAAAAACATTCTCCTTAACTAATCATTAACCTAGTGACCTTGTGAAGTTGACTGAGGAAAAGCCTCGATCAGTTTTCAGAAAGTGCCTTGTATCATAGCTTAGTTCTTCCATGAAAAGCTGAGTATTCCTTACATACAGCAGTTCTCTTAAAATAAGCTTGACAATTTCACTGCCTTTTCATGCATACCACCATAAACACCTTTGGGAAAGCTAAGCTGCTGACACGTTTGTACCCTTTGTCTTTTCTCAGAAGTCACAGAAAAGGCTCAAATGCCTGTAACAAGCTCATTATTTAAATAATTCTGATCATTTGAGCCAGATGAGATGCATTTTGCACTAAGCAGGCTGCTCTGAAACACACCTGTTAACAAAGCCTATTTTCCTTCCTTGCAGTTGCAGTAGCAGGCCTGTATTTAGATACTACAAGTCATCTTAAAACACTGTTGATTCACATGCACAACACATCCCTAAAAACAGTATTACAGTAAGTCAATAGAAAAGCTCGACCTACTGGTTCCTTTAAAGAGGGACTAACAAAAGGCAAAGCATTTCTCTGTCAGCACTGTGTGGACAAGTCAAGACCCCCCACCCCCCCCAAAGGAACCTCAAAAGACCACATGAGGTAACTCAAATCTCGGAAGGGGAGCTGAGCGCTCCTCTCCCCCCATCTCCATTTACGTCGTTCAGTCCATCTTGCCATGATGAGACTTCCCCCTGCCCTGCAAAGTGTTCACCAAACAGTAAATCTTTTCTCATTTCCCCTCTGATAGTTAATGCTGCAGTCCCTCCTTTGGTAAGATTCGTCTCGTGTTTCTGTATATACTGCTGCTCATCTTTACCCTTCCTCTCTATGCCACCCCATCACCAACTGTCTCCAGTACGACCTCCAAACACAGCATTTAATCACACCACACGAATTTACTTCTAAAATAACTTCTTGTGTTACAATGAATCCCTCCCTTTCATTTTTTCCTTTAACTCCTGCAATTTGTCAGTGTCTTTATAGCAACACACTACCTAGGATTCAACTTTCAGTCAGTTGCAGAGTTCAATTACCTTTACGCATGAGCATTTTAATCACGTGGAACTGCCAAATTATTTTTTTCCCTAGCCCCAGCCATTCTACTTGCTTCCACATCTTCCTACAGACTACAGTATTTATAGTAACCCTCTCAAAAATCAGTGTCCTTGCTGAGGAGGGACTGCTGTCTGAAGTAACAGTTTCACACTCTTGGGGGGTGGTGGTTCTGCTGGAACCGAGACACTTAAAAAAACCAAACCATGCAAAGGTATGAAAGGCAAACATTGTGTTGGAGACAAAGCAAGGTTAATCAAAAAGATGAAAGAAAAACTGCACTCCAGTTGTAGAACTTGGTTCTGTGCTGCATATAACTCTATGTACTTGTATAGAAAATAAGCGACAAAGAATCAGACCGAGGAATCCTGCAGTAAAACTTAAAAATCATACAGATCTCTATTAGCATTCTTGAAGAGCTGTGCTCGCAGAATATTTCAGAACCATTCAACACCACCCCTGAAAGCTATCAAATCTCTCCAGAGCTACAATCTTTGTATCCAGAGGACAAGCTGTGCATTTATCCTATGCTAAATGGTATTGTGCTACAGGAAAAATTTGGATCAGTCTTTCAAAGCATGCAAATGGTAACTAAAAGGGAAGCTTCCCCACTATTTAAATACGGAATGATCCAAAATAAATACTTCGGTTTATCCTAACAGCAGCAAAAACCCAACCCTGAAATCCTTAAATTCAGATGAGGAAAAAATAGATGCAAAAGCACCCTGTTGTCTGAACTACACAGAAGGTCTTTGACATCACCTTTAAGTGGTTACATTTTAATTTTTCTTTAATTTTGGAAAGCCAGAGGCCACTTGTCTCAAAGTACAAGATAAGTCTCTTGGCATAAACTGTTCCCAAAGCTCTTTTGCAAGAGGCAGGGAAGGGATTACCCACTTCTTCCCTCAAACCCTTCCAGAAAAGCGACCATAAAAATGCAATCCTGAAAAGCACCTTAATCTGTTAATCCCAATATCACACACTTAAGAGTGATATTTAACCACTCTTCTCAGCTTCCTACCCTGACAGCCATACCACCTATTTCCTTCCTTTTTTTCTACTACAAATAAAATCAACATGTCGCAGGCCTGCAAAAAACTCTCGTTGTATTTTGGATTCTCCTTTCCTTCCCGCCTCAGGATTCCCAGCTCCAAGACGTGATACACGATGCAGCATCCCCTGTAGAGCAGTTAGCAGAATGGGGCTCCAACCTAGCCGAGACTACGCGAGCACCCAAGATTACAAGTAATACTGAAAAGAGTATCACCTAGTTATACCAGTGATTTTCAACCTTCATCCCAGGGAAGAAAGAAAAAGCTTAAAAATACCCATCGGCAAGTTTCAAGAGACTTCTCTTTCATTTGGGAACCAAATTCCCGGCATTTCTGAACTGCTGTTCCTAAAACATGGATTTGGCGGCATATTTCAGGAAGACATCACACTATCCGAAGTACTTCTTACAAAAACAAAGAATAAAAAACCGCATAGCCACGCAGTCACGCGTTTTCCGCCGAGGAGGGGGCTCGCCGCCCCGAGTCCCGGCGCACAGGGCGAGCAGCGC